TAGCAGCATAAAACACAATCAATAGCAAAATGTTTCTGTTAGAGTTCAGTAACCATACCACAGTTAAAAATTGCAATACAGCTAGAACACAAGACAAAGACCTTAAAATAGCCTTTATGAATATGATAGAAGTCTTTAAAGAGGAAATGAATAAATTCTGTAAAGAAATCCATAAAAACATAACAATGGAAGGAAATGAATAAAAACAGTTCAAGACCTGAAAGGGTAAATAAAATCAATAAAGTCCTCTGGTGCAGGAGAATTGTCTGTAATTTGTCAATCATATTTTAAATAAATGCTGATTGGCCAGGCAGGAAGTATAGGCAGGAAAATCAGACAGGAAGTAGAGGTGATGCAATGAGAACAGGAGAATTCTGGGAAGCAGGAAGCTCCCTCTGCCATTCCTGCCCAGATCACTGAAGAAGCAACATGTGAGCTGACAGCTGAAAAAGGTACTGAGCCACATGACTAACACAGACAAGAATTATGGGTTACTGTAAGATGTAAAAATTAGTTAATAAGAAGACTGAGCTAATGGGCCAATCAGTTTATAATCTTATAGTGTCCTGTGTGTGATTTTCTCTGGGATATGCCGGCTATGAGGTGTAGGGCGGGACAGAAACTCCAACAAACAAGCCAGCCCTTCATGTTACAGATGGTGCCCACGTGGATAACCATCAAAGCCACGGTTTTAGATTCATGTGGTCAGAAAAAGAGAGAAAGATACAGTAAAGAGAGATTCAAAGACGAAAAAACCTCTAAATGGTTTACAGTGTGTTAAAAATATATGCAGGTTAAAGGTTAAAGTCATTAAAAATAAAAAAGAAAGAGAGAAGTAGAGTGTGGTGGTACACATCTTAAATCCCAGTGTGTGGGGGGCAGAAGTAGATTGACCTCTGTGACTTCAAGGGGCAGAGGTAGATTGACCTCTGTGAGTTCAAGGTGTGGTAGCACACACCTTTAATCCTAGCACTGGGGAGGCAGAGACAGGTGGATCTCTGTGAGTTCAAGAACAGACTGGTCTACAGAGTCATTCCAGGACAAAGAGATACAGAAAACCCGTCTCAAAAAGTAAAAATAAAAATAAAAGAAATAGAGGTTAAAATAAAGGCACATAAAGATAAAAACTACACAGAAAATCTTGATACTGTATGCTATTATGCTCTCTTTAAATTGTTTAAATGCTGAGGAAGGAGCAACAGCTGCTAAAAGACTTTTATTTATAAATGCTGCTGAACTAATCCAAGATAGGTATTTTGAAAATACCTTGGCTTCAAAACTGAAGTCAAAAATTATGTTACTTTGGAGAAGAGATTTTGCTTTTGTTTCCACAGAAAATGAGAGGTTGTGGATTTATTCAGAGTTAAGAAAAATCACCTTTGATCAAGGAAGGCCACCTGAAAAATCTCTGGTAGAAACAGATGGCCCAGATGTCTGAGTTCTTCATCCAGAACAGGTTCAAGACTGCTGCTTGAGATGATCAAGACTCACAGGATACTCCAGTCAGAACTTGATTATAATTCTAAATTTTCTTTAGGTCCCCATAAGATTATCAGTGCCACCAATCAACAGAAAGTAGCCTGGAAAACTATGCCCACATTCCCAAAAAAATGGACTATGGATATTCCCCTTTGTTAAAAAAAAAGAGGGGAAAATGGTGCAGGAGAATTGTCTGTAATCTGTCAATCATATTTTAAATAAATGCTGATTGGCCAGGCAGGAAGTATAGGCAGGAAAAAGAGGCAGGAAGTAGAGGTGATGCAAGGAGAACAGGAAAATTCTGGGAAGCAGGAAGCTCCCTCCACCATTCCTGCCCAGACCACTGAAGAAGCAACATGTGAACTGACAGCTGTAAAAGGTACTGAGCCACATGACTAACACAGACAAGAATTATGGGTTACTGTAAGATGTAAAAATTAGTTAATAAGAAGACTGAGCTAATGGGCCAATAAGTTTATAATTTTATGGAGTCCTGTGTGTGATTTTCTTTGGGGTATACCATCTGTGGGGTGTCGGGCAGGACAGATACCCCAACAAGCCAGCCTTCATGTTACAGTCCTCAAATTGAGGAAAGCCAGGAAATTATAAATTTAGGAACTTGGACAGGAAACACAGAAGCAAGTCTCAGCAAGAGAATATAAGACATGGAAGAGAAAATCTCAGACACTGAGAACACAATAGAAGAAATGGACACCTCAGTATATCACTCTTGGGCATGTTCCCAAAGAATTCTTCATCTTACCACAAGGACACTTGCTCAACCATATTCATTGCTGCTCTACTCATTAAAGCCAGAAATTATAAATAACCCAGCTGTCCCTCAACTGATAAAGAAAATGTGATAAATTTACAAAATGGAGTATTACACAGCCATTAAAAATGGAATCATGAAACTCACAGAATAGAATTAGAAAAGAATCATCCTGGATGAGGTAAAATCATACCCAGAAATTTATTCACTTATATGTAGATATTATCTGTTAAGTCAATGATAACCAAGCTACAATCTTTTGAACCATAGAGGTTAGGAACTAAAGATAGACCTCCCAAGGAAAGGGACACAGAATTGACAGTTATGAATGGTTATGCAAAGCTGGAATGGGGGGAGCAAGTGGGGAGGAGGAGGGAAGAGAAGGACATATAGTGAGAGATGGCTAAAATTAAGGCCCATTTGAGGGGTAGAAAATAAATAAAATGGAATATATATTTATATATTTATTATATATATTATACATATATATTTCATTCTGTTTGTTTTTTTATTCTGATTTGTTAGGTTTTTCTTTACTTTATTTTAGACTCTTAAACATCTGTTTGTCTTCTGATGAGAGACAGAAAGGGGGTAGATCTGGATGGGGGAAGAACTTGAAGGGTGGAGGGAAGGGAAAGAGTAATCAGGATACATTCTGTGAGAAATAAAATTGATTTTCAATAAAAGTGAAAAAGTACAAGAGGTTTCTGGCAAAAGACGACATCTGTGACCATGAAAAATTATCTTTATCTACATGTATGCATGTGTGTATGTGTGAGCCCCTGGATCTGGGTGCTGGAGCCTTGACCTCCAGCAGTCTGAAAGAGCATCAAGTGTTCTTGACTGCTGAGCATCTCACCAGTTCCTCACACAGCTTCTTCCAACAGCTTCCTGTAAATGCAGTGGTGGAGGAGGGTCATCTGTCTATGTGTTACTTTCATTGGTTAATAAAGAAACTTCCTTGGCCCTTTGATAGGACAGAAAATTAGGTAGGCAGAATAAACAGAACAGAATACTGGGAGGAAGAAGACAGTGAGGCAGTCGCCATGACTCTCCTCTCCAAGACAGATGCAGGTTAGGATCTTTCCCAGTAAGTCACCACCTCGTGGTGCTACACAGATTACTAAATATGGGTTAAAGCAAGATGTGAGAATTAGCCAATAAGAGGCTGGAACTAATGGGCCAGAAAGTCTTTAAATGAATACAGTTTCTGTGTAATTATTTTGCATGTAAAACTAGCTGGGGATCCGGGTGGCGGAATGCAGTCCGCCGCTCCCTTTTACTACAATGCAGCTGTATCTTCTCATGCTTAACATAACAATGTTTGACCATATTTTTATCATGATTTCATTGTTTAAGCCATTGCCACCTCCCCCCAAAATGTCCCTGTAATTACATACAAGTGATGAAAGGGGCCTGGTTCTCTGTCACAGCAATAAGGGAAAACCACCATATAAAGCAAACGTCTCAGGGTGAGCTTTCCAACTCACATCCGTGCCTAGAAAAAGAGTTCCCTCACTCCTTGTCAATTGCTCTCTGTGACTTAGAGGAGAAGGAGTCCCTGGTATTTCATACTTTTACATAGGTACCTTGTGGGGTGCCTTGAAAGCAATAGGGTCTGCAGCCTACTGTGTGGGCAAATGCAAAAGACTGCACAGGTTAAAGCAGGGAAAGGAAGGGAGAGAAGCTGGAACGAAAGATGAACTATTCACCACAGGACTGATGCTCCCTGACTTACTCTTCAACTCGTGGTGTTTTCACCAGGTAGTGCTTTAAAGTGGCTCACATACAGTGGAAGCTGTACTTCTGGTTTGCAAATCTTATCTTTTGCAGGATAATAGCATATGGTGAAATGCTCTCTCAAAATACTTCAGCTGCAATGAGCCACAGCTCCCCGAACAAGCAGTCTGGGCATGCCAAGCTCATTCAGCAGGTTAGCAGTAAGAAAGGTGCTGTCAATCTGTTTCAGGTTTATCAGGACCTGACCTCATGAAAAGAGAGCATCTATAGTCTGCCCAAGGGAGTCTCCTACTCATTTCCCAGAAGTTGTGCCACGTGCTGTCACTCTGGCTAGGTCCCCATGGTCTCCAACTCCATTATTAGTCAGTGTGATGGTTGATTTCATTGTCAACTTGACTGGATTTAGAATCCTCTTGGAGATGGACTGGCACATGGCTAGGTATTCCTGTCAGGGGTTTTACTGAGAGGATTAACTGAAGTAGGAACACTGTTGTTGAATGTGAGTGGCACAAACCAAAGAAAGAAAAAAAAGGTCAGTGTTTGTGTTTGTCATGAAGTGAACAGCTTCTCCCCACCCACTGTACACCCTCCACATCCTTAACGCTCCTTCCAAATGCATGTGGCCAAGAGACCGTGGACTGAGCACTGAAAACTGTGAAGTCATGAACCAAAGCAAACTTTTCTTTCCCTTAACCATTAAGGAAATAATCACAGCAATGAAAAGGAAATAATACAGTCCTACTTCTACAGGGAGGGAACAATAGAGGTCTATGTGTATGACGGAGAGAGAGAGAAAGAGAGAGAGAGAGAGAGAGAGAGAGAGAGAGAGAGAGAGAGAGAGAATGAGGGAGAGAGAGAGAGAACAGAGACAGAAAGAATAAAGAGAGATGGATAGGGAAAGAAGAGAGAAAGCAAAGAGGCAAATGGGGAAAGAAGAAAGAAAAAGGGAGACAGAGAACAGAGAGAAAGATGGATGTATTTTAAGACATTGAGATATACAATCATTCACCATTTCCAGGGAAAGCTGGAGATGCAAGTAAGACTTCACATCTACAGCTTCTGGCAGAAATCCTCCTCCCTCCCGGAAGTCAGTCTATTAAAAAAAAAACATTAAGAGTTTCAACTATTTGGATGAGTCTTACTTAGATTATGAAGGATAATCCACCATATGCAAAGTCCACTTATTTAAATACTGACCTAATTTAAAAATAAATTGCCCCAAATATTTAAAACTATTTTGGTCCTGATAACTTGGATTCTTGGCCAGGCCAAGTTGGCACATGGCATTCACTGTAGTCACCAATGGGTAGCAAGACCACGGTTTGGCACCTTGATCTTTCAGTTCTGTCCTCCTTCATATGAAAAAGCTCTCTGAATGAAGGGTTTAAAGCAATCTTCAAAACTATGATCACAGGAATGGGACACATGAGGGAGAGTGGACAAAAACAGCAGTTTTTGCCTAATTTGGAGCAGTTTATCATAGCACATCCTTCACAAACAAAATACACTCATATCAAAGGACGCCCAGGTCACATAGATGCCAATTTCAAGTTGCAAGTGTACAACAGTGAGTGATCTTTCAATCATCAGCTGGCAAGGCACATGCCTTACAGAATATCTAAAGATGCTGCTCACATTCCTACTTGAATTTATTTGTTCATCCACTCAGCAACAAGGTTTAATAAATATTTTGTTTATATGTGAGCTAGCTACAGCATTTAAGGAGTTTGAAAAGTCAATATGCCTTTCCCCAGAGTGACGAGAGAAAGGTGAATTAATACAGTTCCTTATCTTTCTAAAAACAAGAAAATGACAAGACTCTTATGAAAGACTTTAGATGCACTTTGGAAGGGCCATATTTAGGGTGACCTCTATACTGAGACTGAAATGATGTCAGAATAGTAATAATAGATTTTATTTAATTTTAAATGTCCTTTAAAAGAAATAGAACTGCATCTCTACCCATCCCCTTCATTCTAGAGCCCATTAGGCTTCCTCAAGCTCCTCCCATGCTCCTCTGCACTCGAGCTGATAGTCTCTGTGTCTTTGATTATATTTGTTATGCACATGTATAACAAATGGGGGGGTATGTGCACACACACATATAATCTGCTGAATCTGTCCTTGAGCAATAACATTTTAGTAATAATTGTTTGTAAGTATATACTATTAATATCAAAGATTCCTTGAGCACTTTCTGTTTACCAGGAACAATTGTACACATGTTACATGTATTCATTTACTTTAATAAGTGTTTGGCTGGGGTAGCATTCTGAGTGACAGGCTCAGCATGTACAAACATGGTGTCTTAGAGGAGGAGCACTCATTCAGGTAATGGTAAAGAGCTTACTGGAACATAGGGATACTTTGCATAATACCAATAAATAAGATAGACAAAAATCTGTTTCTCCTGGGGAGTCCAGCTGTAAGTAGGCATTCCCGACATCACCTCCAGCTCCAGCTTCATTATACCCATTATACCATGAAGGTCTCCATGTGTTCCTTCAATAAACCCAGGGTCTCTGAATTGATACCTTTTACTCAAGTTACCTCAGTGTCTCTACCTGCTTCCTTTGTTAACTGAGGCAAATACCAGCATCCATCGTTATGGCAACTCTGAGTTACAAAACTGTAGGAACTTTTCTCTTTGCCTGCGGGGAAAGAAACAAAGAGACACAATGGGATACTTTTCTAATTCTTCCCAAATGTTTGTTTCTTGTATTTCAATAATATTCAGCATCTTTTCAATATCTATCAAGTCATTTCTAATTTTTCTATTTCCAAATATAATCTACTTATCTATTCTTCATCTATTTAATCTATCACCTATATATAATCTATTTATCTTCTCACCAATGACTATCATTTTCAGGTTGCCAATAACAGAATTGATCAGTGCATATACATTATAGAATTGAAACAATTTGACTATTTAGTCAATTTCTTAAATACTCACATGTGTTTTAGGTTTTGCTGCTGACTCTGGTTACATTGCCCTGAAAGAAAATAGTGGAGTCCTCCTGACCTTGGGCTCAATAACCCTATTTGTCTTCTCATCTCCAGACTCCAGGGTGCAGTTCATTTTGACTCTAGCTTGTGAGAGCCAGGAGAGACGGAATTTGGGTTTCTGTCCCCCTAGAATCCCAAATCTTCTTTCTTGATACTCTTTGTCTTATAGCATTTCAAATACCCTCCCTTAATCCCCTGCTGAGGATCAAGGAACATATCAGAATGTTTAATATGCAAACATGATAGCTTATAAAATGTGACAGTTTCAGGTGAGAGCCCTTCTGGGTACTGTAATTTTCCACTTCTCATTCTTCTATGTATTTGACTTCTTTACAGTAGCAGGGGGAAAATGAACCAGTGCTCAAGAATTCACCCAGCTTAGAAATCAGAAATGTCTGAAGTTAAGTGAGGGTGGCAGTGGAAATCAAGGAAGCTGGGAGATTGTTTACTAGGTGATCCTGGAGTTCAGTCATTACAGGGAAGAGCTGAAAACATTTGAAGGAGAAAAATCCACCTTGTGTGAGGGCAACACTGATCAAATTTTTGTCAATGCCCCTGGGTTTCTCCTACCTCCCACAAGGTTTTACTATGTAGCCCAAGCTAAACTTAAGCTCATTCTGTAGACCAGGCTGGCCTTGAGCTTGTGATCCAGTTCCCCTTTACCCTTAAGTGCAAGAACTGTAGAAGTGCAGTCCATACCCCGCTGCCTTCTGGGTTTGCAACAGCATCACCACCATTTTGTTTGAACACATTTGCTATGAAGGCTCCTACTCTCATTCTTTTCTTATTGTCTAAAACTTTGTTTTCCCTCAAATTGCTAGAAAGTTGTTCTGACATCTCTTTTGCTTGATATGGCTTATCATTTTTGTAAAAAAAAAAATCAGTGATCTGAATCCTCCAGAAATGATTTTTAAAAATCACTTGGTCTTATTTAAAAAATTTTAATAGCCTAACTGAGAAACAATTTATATACCATGAAGTTCAATATTGTAAAGTATAAAATTCAATGAGTATAAATGTATTTATGGACTTCTAAAACTATACCTACGTTCCTATGTTAAAGTTCTGTCATTTTCTGAAAAACAAAAACAAAAACAAAAAACACCCCAAACCCATACATATTAGGAATTCCCCATTTCACTTCTTTTCCTAGTCATGACTCAACTTTCTTTATCCCTCAGCTTAACTCTGCTGACAATTTCATAAAATTGTAATCATGTAACACGTGGACCTTTGGGCCTCTTTCACTTAACATATTTTCAAAACACACCTGTATTTTAGCATGTGAAGATAATGCATTATTTTTGTTACTTAATAACATTGTCATATATGAATATACCATATTTTGTTTGCCATTACTAAATAAATGAAAATTTATGACATTCATAGTTCCTGGCTGTTATAAGTAGCAATTCCGTGAACATTGCTACTATGAACAAATTTTTCTTTCGGTATAGTTTTCAATTCATCCAAGTATATTCTTCGGTGTGCTATTGCTGGGTTTATATAGGAATTGCATGTGCAACTTTTTGAGCAACTGCCAGATTGCATTCCGAGCGGACTGAACGGGTTTGCATTTTAATCAGCAGTGTGTGAGATTTTTAGCTCTCTATCTTTATCAACAGCTGTTATGATACATCTTTTTGCTTGTAGCTATCCTTTTGTGTGTGAAGGAGTAGCTCATTGTAGTTTTGATTTGCATTTCCCTGCTGACTAATGATGTTGAGTATCATATGATCTGCCTATTATCATTTGTGTAGCTTCTGTGAAGAAATTCCTTTCAAAACTTTGATCACTTTTTAATTGGTTTGTCTTTTTGTTGTTGAGTTGTAGGATATATACATACATGCATACAATTGCCTTCACAGATATATAATTTAAATGCATTGTCCCTGGATTGAAAAAAATAATCTTTCTTGGTGATGTCTTTTTAAACACATATATTTTCAATTGTGATAAAGTTCAGGCTCTGTCTCTCTGTCTCTGCAACTCTGTCTGTTTGTCTCTGTCCTTTCTCTCTCTCTCTCTCTCTCTCTCTCTCTCTCTCTCTCTCTCTCTTTCACTGTTTTTCTTGATGTGTTATAACTCAGGTTTGGTTTGTGACATGTGAAAAGAGTTCTTGAAATTTATAAAACCTGGGTTTTCTACCATGTGGTCTGCTCACACAGATTGCTATCTCACCCAGGATTTGAAAATGTCTGATCAAAGCCCTGTTTGTACCACAGAACACTTAAAACAATAATCCTTAGTGGAAGGTTGGTTATAGGAGTTAAAGGATAGAGATATTGTTCCCCCCCTCCACCCGCCCCGGGATGGACCAGAGAGATGCACTGCAGACATTCTGTCAGTTTGGGCAGGGTTTATAGAGACAGATGTAAAAATCCTAAGGCCTTAGAAGTTATATCCAAAAAAGACAAATTAAAAAGGCTTCTTGAGAATGAATGGGAAGCACTGAATTCCAAATCGGGTGAATTGTATTCTCTCATGAAAGAACTATAAAAAAATCTGCATATTTCAGGCATAGTGGGTACACACCTTTAATCCCAGCACTTGGGAGGCAGAGTCAGGCAGATTTCTGTGAGTTTGAGTCCAGCTTGGTCTACATAGTTAGGTCCAGGAAAGCCAGGCTACATAGTGAGATCCTGTTCTGAAAAAAGAAGAAAAAAAGAAAGGAAGAAAGAAAGAAAGAAAGAAAGAAAGAAAGGAAGGAAGGAAGGAAGGAAGGAAAGAAAGAAGGAAGGAAAAAAGGAAGAAAGGAAGGAAGGAAGGAAAGAAGAAAAAAAGAAAGAAAAAAGACATGTGGGTAGAAGGTAGGCCTATGACTGCTTCTGGGCCTTTTGAATGTTCTGTACATTGAAGTCTGGATAAATGACTACAAACATGCACAGACTACAAACATGGCACAAGAGCAAAGAAATTAACAGGGAGAATGAAACCACGGGATAGGCGAGGGTTAATTCCAACAGATGCATTGGCAGTAAAGATAAACAAGGAGGAAGGCTTCACTGAGGCTTTAATGATGGCCTTGCTAAGATGTAGCTGGGTATGATTACACAACCAAAGAAATGAACTGGCTTTGATTAGAAAAATATCTTTCTGACTAAAAAGATAGTCACACTGAGTAATGGTTGCTCATTGTTCTGATGTTAGAAACTGCTGATGCTTCCTTAATCAAAAATAATATAAATTATACTGCTTTTTAAACAATATTGTTGCAGGTTTTTGCTCAACACCTAAGGAAGGCATAATGTAGAGGAGAGAATGAATGTATTCACTTTGCCGTTTAGACTCTCGCTGGAGCAGAGAAAAGAGCCTGAACTCTATTTTCAGCTCCTCATGGAAACAAGTTAAAATTCTCATTTCTCTATGCAAATTAAGTGCACCTTAAATGGTTGTATGTGTTTCCCTTTAGAAAGCAGAAAAAAGGTTGTAAATTATGTGACTGCAATAACAGATGAGGCAGAAGCAGTGTGTTTCTCTGTATTATATCATTGTATTATATATTACTTCAGTGTAGCCCCTGGGGCTTCTAACAGAGGTTAAATTTGTACAGGAGAGATAAAGTAGGGACGGGAAGTTCATTTTTCCCCCAACTTCTTCCCATAAGCATTAATGACCTCTAAACAGCAAGGATAGTTAATCAACTGTCTTACAAAAGTCAGGAGATTATGTGAGTGAGTGTGTGTGTGTGTGTGTGTGTGTGTGTGTGTGTGTATTATTTAACTTCTATATCTACCATCATTCATATGTCTATCCAAGTACCATCTACAATCTATCTAAATTACATTAGTTATCTAACAAAATAGACATATTAACGATATGAACAAGTAGTTTAGCTTCTTTGAAGTTGGGTGTTTCTATTTGTTCTTTGGGTGGTGGCTTTTTTACTTGTTTTGATTTCCATTTATCACAGCAACATTAGGAAATACATGAAATCTACAAACATTTTCCAAGAAAGTACATTGCAATAACTACATGTGAATATATAGATTCCCTTAAAAATCAAATCAGAGCAGCAATGGTAATATGTTAAACCAGAAGAGTGTGTGATGGCTGTGATGTTGGTATTATCAACTTGACTGGATCTAGAACCACCCAGAAGAGGGGCCTCTGAGCATGCCTGTGAGAAATTATCTTGATTGCAATAAATAAGGCCAGAAGATCTGCCCACCATGGGTGGCACCATTCTTTGGATGGGATCATGAAGTGTGTAAATGGAGACCTCTAAATATCATAGACTATTAATCAACTACCTTATAAAAGTAGTAACTGATCAACAGTGCTCATCTACCCTTCTCTGTTTTCTGATTATGGATGTGATATGATCATCAGCTTTAATTTCCTGCCACAGGACAGTAAATTAAAACAGAAATTGATGGCCAAGAAGTGAAGCTGTTGCTGTGACAAACCTGACCATGTGGTGTCTACGTCTTCACACCTTATTTGAAAGAGGAATGTGGAAGACTCTGAGACTTTGGGTTTAAAAAACGTTGAAAACAGAACTTAAGGGATTTCTGACTCTAGGAGAACAAGAATGCCAACAGAAATGAAGGCCTAGCAAGTGAGATTTCAGAGGGAGCCAGGACTACACTGAGAAACAGACTAGATGTTGTTCAGGTTTTATTCTGGAAAAAATCTTGCC